CAGGAGGGGGCTCAACACACATCCCTGAGGAGAGCCAGTGCTGAGGGTTATAGTGGAGGAGGAGAAGTTGTGGATCCTCACTAACTGTGGTCTGTTTGCTAAAAAGTCCAGGACCCAGTTGCAAATGGAGGAACTTAGTCCTGGTGTGAATAGTTTGTCCATCAGGGTTTGGGGGATCATGGTGTTGAAGGTAGACGTGAAGTCCACAAAGATCATACGGATGTAGGAGTTCTTCTGCTCCAGGTGGGTGAGAGCAGTGTGGACCACAGAGGAGATGGTGTCCTGTGTTGATCTGTTCTTGCAGTACGTGTACTGGTGAGGGTCCTTGTTGATGTTGACGTTAGTTCTGATGTGAGTCATGACCAGTTTTTTGAAGCATTTAGCGACTATCAGGGTGAGGGCCACTGGCCGATAGTCATTCAGACCAGTCACTGTAGAGCTCTTTGGAACTGGGATGATGGTGGTGGTCTTCAGGCAGGTGGGAACTGTTGCCAGGGTGAGGGAGGAGTTAAAGATGTTTGCCAGCCCCTCACAGAGCTGATCGGTACAGTCTTTCAGCACCTTCCTAGGAATGTTGTCTGGGCTGGTTGCCTTGTGAGGATTAATCCTCCTGAAGGTCCTCCTCACTTCAGCTGAGGTCACACTGAGATGTACTTCGTCTGGTGCTGGGTGGTCTGTTCGGGTCTTCAAAGCGTGCGTAGAACTTGTTGAGGACATCAGACAGAGATGGGTCTTTGGGACGTAGTTCGCTCCTTCCTTTATCATCTGTCCTTCACTTAATGACCCTCCACCTGCTCCGTGGGTCTTGTGAGGTGAACCGACCCTGGATCCTCTGTGCATATGTGGCTTTGGCCTTCTTAATACCAGCAACCAGCTCTTTCCTTGTCCTTCTCAACATATGACTGCTGGTGGAATCGAACCCCCAACTCTCCTTTTATAGGACGAATGCTCTAACCACTCAGCCACAGCTCCCGCTGCATGATGGGACCTGCAGTTTATTTCATATTTTTTAACATAATTGTAAGATATTGGCCCCGGGAGCGAGATCCATCTCCCAACCGGTTTCTATTCTCCATCTACTAGGTGGCAGAGCAGTGGGTCCAGGAGAAAAACCCAGACCTGCTTCTGCTCAGAGGCCTGGGGGACCCTGAGGTGGTCCCAGGCCTGAGAGGATCTATAATCCCTCCAGAGGGTTCTGGTTCTCCCCCAGTACAACATGCTCAGAAAACCTCCAGCGGGAGGCATCCTGACCAGAGGAACCTCCTCAGCTGACCCCAGAGGAGCAGCAGCTCCCCCCAGATGACGGAGACCCCCACCCCCAACCTACAGGAAGACGATTTCAGCTGCTTGGATTCAGGATCTGGTTATTTCAGTCCTGATCCAGACCTCAGGACCACAGCTGAGGGATGAACAGACCAGTAATCCAGAACTTTGCCTTCAGACTCAACTCTTTGTTCACCACAATGGACCAAAGCAACACCCTCATTACTGAGGATGAGGTACTGATCTGTAGATCCACCTCCATCCTACCGTCCAGATACTTAAACTCCACCCCCTGAGGCAAATCTGTTTTTACTCTTTTCAAAATAAAAGCTCATTTGTCCATGATGATGGTAAACTGAAGAATCACAGGACGCGCTTTCCTTCTGCAACGCTTGGAATCAACCCGATTCAAGATGGCGGCCATACAAAACACATACAAGGAGAGAAGTCAGCCAGTTTTACAGACACGGAGCTGTAATCTGATGTGGTAGTAGCTGAGAGTCGTCCCCAGCGCGTGCTCTGAGCAGACTGAACACGGCCGGGCGGCGGCGTTCCTCCGGTGAACGTTGGGCCCACGGGTTCTCCAGCTGGTCCTTAGAGAGCATCCAGAACTTTCAGGTGCATTTAACAGTTTCATCAAAGGCAGACAGATGTTTTACAGATCAGAAAACGTTTGAGCAGTTTGTGTTTTAATCCGTCTTTAACAAATGAGAGCCGTGTCACAGCTTTCAAGAACAGAACCAGAACAGCAGCGAGGAGACGAGTCCGCACCAGGCGCTCCAAACAACCGGACACGGGAAGATTCAAGGAAAAACTAAATCAAACTAAATATCAGAGGAGGAAAAACTCAACTATTTCAAAACAGAAAACTGTACAGCAGCTTCAGGCGCTCTCCTGAGGAGCAGGGGGCGGAGCAGGGGGCGGAGCCTGGCGCTTCGCAGGATGATCCTCATCATTTTCTTCTCTTCCTCGTTTCCTCCTTGAAACCTTTCCTGATGACTCCGCACCCTGCTGGTAGGAGGGGCCAAAGTCAGGTAAAAGGTGGTGGGGTCCCTGAATGAATGAATGAACGTGTGTGTGTTTGTGTGTGTGTGTGTGATTACCATGGGAGGAGCAGAGGGAGGAGAAGCAGTAGGAGGAGCAGCAGTGTCTCCTCCTGACGGGTACATGAGTCGATGAGCTTTCTCCAACATCTTCTGATCCTGTGAACATCAGTCAGTGTCAGCTGCCAATATTTCCCATGATGCACCCTGAGCTGACCAGGTGGTGGATCAGGTGATTAGACTCAGACTGGCTGCAGAACACGTGGAGGTGTGAGATGTTGTGTATTCAGGGTGGAACGCTTCACGGTCTTTAAATAAAACTCCAGAAATACCAGAAGTTAGTAATAATTATGGCAGCACGGTGGCTCAGAGCTGCTGCCTCTCAGCAAGGTCAGTCAATCAAATCCCAGCCAGGGACCTTCCTGGGTGGTTTGTATGTTCTCTCCGTGCTGCGTGGGTTTTCTCCAGCTTCTGGTATTTCTGGAGTTTTATTTAAAGACCGTGAAGCGTTCCAC